AAAGCTAGCTAAGGTGTCTTTTTTTCTATGACAGAGTAAAAATGCTTTAGAAAAACGTAAATGCCCTGCGCTATGATGTCCGTACAGAACTGAAAGTAAGAAAAAGCCTGTTCTTAATCTAGCTGACTAGCGATGTAAGAATTGCACGTGCATAACATGCTATGTTGGTATTAATATTGCACATCATCCAGCCTTATAATATACTACAGTCATTTTTTGAACTTGGTACAAAATGCCCTGCCTCACGCTGTGATGTCAATCGGCGCTGGTACCAGTTTTTATGCCAGTGGAAAACCAACACCTTGAAGTACTATACAGTACGTTTGGTACTTTCACAAAGTACCAAAAGTACAGTACCTGGTGTGGCGGGAAAGCGCCCCAATCCGCTGCATCTGAGTCCTGGTATTCTGTGCTAAAGTCAATGTAATAGAATAAAATACCCACATTCCCTGTTTCTGAAGTAGCAGTATTTTAAAATACTATGAAAATGATGATATAATTTTCCATAAAACTTGACTTACCTGCTTTTTTACTTGGAAATAAAAGCACTCTTTTGATGTCATCAATCTTTCTCCATCCGCGTCCAAAATTACTACGTCTCCTTAGCACAGTCTGAATAGCCCTTTAGCAAACACAAGAGAATATTATTATGGCATTTAACAAACCTAAAGGGACAAATCAAATGCCAAAAACACAGATTTTATTGGGATAATATCTATAACTTATCATCCTGGTAACTGACCATGTCTGATTAGAACTCTCTGGAAGTCTTTGCATACTTTGTGAACTTAGCACTTACACAACCACGGAATTTTTGATTAATGTCAGAAGTTTATAGGGGCCGAACCACAGGTATGCTGGCAGCTTGAGGAAGTCACCATCTTTCACAAAGCTTGGAAGACCACTTTTGTGGATCTTTCTGTGAAGAGAGGAAATCTGCTCCATCAACTGAAGTTTTCATCCTTCAAGATAAGCAAAATTCACTGTATATTTTCTATTACTATGCAAACACTCATCATGGGATTTGCCGGAATTCAGGGAGTTATGTATTCCAACTTGATACCTGTTAAAATATACATACATGTACATGCAAAAACAAACAGCAAACAAAACACCAGTAAAATGAAGCATGGTATGAATTACTCACTCAACATCTTTGGAAATTTTCTGTCCAAATATCCTGAAAAGTAAAATGAGATGAAACCGGTGAAATATACAGTAACAATGAAATCAGTTCCAAATGGAACCATTTGACAATGCAAGACTGGAAGCAACCATGCTGGTGAAAGTGTGTCACTCTGTCCCTGGTCAGTGAATCCTGATGTGAGCTTGTAGCCTATCCCAGGAAACTGAACATGAGCAAAGGGACACCTA